CGCGTTTTCGGCCGAAAACGCTCACCAAGCCCCATTCTGAGAAAAAGCAAGCACGGAGGACGAGAATCGCTGTTGCCCTGCATAGCGTTCCGGGCAGCGGTCACAACCAGCAAGAGAATTCCCGGCTAACAGCTTCTCTCTGGCGGGGAAGGCGCTGTGAGGTGCAGGGGACCCGAAACACGCAGGTCCTCATGGGCCTGGCGTCCGCGACGCGGTTGCCCATGATAACAGCGAAAGGGGGTGGACAATAAAGGGGCCCCTCTGCTTCTGTATTTCTTTAATAGCCAATTCCAGAAAGATCGGTGCTGAGAAGGCAGCAGTTGCATCATTGAAACATTGGGTTATTTTATGCATTAGCAATCTAGATCAGTTATTTTTGTAATTTTGTAAACTGATGCATAGTTGCTGGAAGAATCGTATTCTACATCCCACATAAAGTTCTAGGAAAAATAAGTAAAGAATGTTAAAAATGTTCTGCCTTAGGCTTAAGTGCCAGCTTTTCAACACCAATTAGAAAAATGCATCTAAAATGCAAATATAAAACCAGTTATATTAATGCTTGTCTCAGTCATCACCTTTTTTTTCTTCTTCTTTAAGCAGAGCGGGTCTCAGGAATACTCTCTTCAAAAGTGGAAAGAGCCCCTTCTACAATGATGAATGCCGACATGGATGGTATAAGTTCTTAATGTTCTTGTTCTTCATTGTTATTTTTTTCTACTTACTATAATTTCCAGGTGTTACAGAGGTTGCATTAAAACTCATGTGATTTATTGCAGCTGTTGAGGCTGAGAATCAGGTGGAATTAGAAGAGAAAACACGGCTTATTAATCAAGTTTTGGAACTGCAGCACACACTTGAAGGTTAGCAGTTTGACACATCAGATTTTTTTACAAGCACACAGTAATAAGCAAAATTAAACCTTACTGTTCTGCCCTACCTTAGTCAAAGTAGCCAGAAGTACATCACACTGTTGAAGGTACATAAGGTCTCAGAACTATTTTTTTTCTTATGCAACATATTTGCTTGACTCTCATAATACACATCAAGCAGGAGAGGCAATAATTAACTTGCCCCTGCTCATTAGTTGACATACATCTTTGAGTCTGCTCATCGCTGAACTTTTGTTTCCAAATAGTTTAGTTTGCAATAGCTTAGTTCAAAAATTCAAGAAAAGAATAAAGATACAGACTAACAGTTTCTTTAACAAGTCTGTCAAAATACTGTACTGCAAAATCATATAGGAAAAATGGGCTTTAGATAAAACTTGTGGGTAGCACAGTGTTTTAGAAGATAATACCTTATAGTAGTGTTCCTCCATTGAAAGTGTGAGAAGTGTGATGTAGGCACATAGAACATTAATTACTGTATGCAATAGTGTCTAATACTTTTCTTATAATATCGCCTTCACAGATCTCTCAGCACGAGTAGATGCTGTTAAGGAAGAAAACTTGAAACTGAAATCAGAGAACCAAGTTCTTGGACAGTATATAGAAAATCTGATGTCAGCATCTAGTGTTTTCCAAACAACTGACACAAAAAGCAAAAGGAAGTAAGGGTTGACTCACAGATGATGTCATTGTATTGCTGCTGTCTTTTTTTGTTTTAATTGGCATAGGCTACATGAGCTAAAGTACCTTAGTTTGTGGCTTTACTGGATACCTGAAGATTATAAACTTTGGTGATAAACAGAATTAAGAACATTGTCATGAACAGAAGACATAAGTTTATGTATTGTTAAGGTTAAGCAATGTGCAAATGTAGTGTAGAGACTTACTAAATCTTCATAATTGTTTTAAAAATGAGCTTATGTTAAAAATGGGATTCAGTTTGTCAGGTTAAACAAAAATCTATTGGCACTCTTTGAGGTCTTAGGGTAGTGTTCTTGACTAGCAGAATAATATTTATAACATTGTGTTGAAAACCTTACTTAGCAAAAATATTCGAAGTCTAATTGCAGCACCTTTTTCACTTAAAATACATTTAGATTACTGCACAGTACTGTCCATAGCTCTGCAAAACAACCTCAAACAAAAACCTATAAACCCGTTAAGAATTTCTATAAAAGTAATAATAGTATGATATTAGTTGCAGGGCTTGTGTACAGAAGAAACACCGAAGATCTTTTGGGGAGAGGTAGGGTAAGGGAACAGGGATAAGCAATTTACAACAGGGAAGTACCAAACTGATGCAGTACCAGTGTTTGTAGTTTGTAAGATGTACACTTCATACCATTTCCACCTTCCTGTTTCCTCAAAGAGTGATCAGGCACAGTACGATGTATGATCTTCCTGAAGTTTTTCAGTTGTGTTTTGAAGAGTTAAATAAAAACCTGAGTAGTAAGCTTTATGGAAACAGGTCAGCAATGTTCCTCGTGCTTGTTGTAACCAGTCAGCAGAGAGGAACTGAGAGCAAGTTTTTCCTTGCCACCTTTTACTTTCCTCCTGAAGTGCCAAACTTGTCTTTGCTTCAGGCCTTAGAGCATCTGCTTTCCTGCCCCAGAGCCTAAGCTTGTGAAGTACCTCAAGGCACTGCATGAAAACATCTGAAGCAGAAGACTGCAGTGGAACAAAGGTGGCTTTTGCCTCTCAAAATGAGCAGTGCCAAGGTGTGCTGTTTTTTACTGGCTTGACTGTTTGTTAGGTTTTGTGAAGGAGCTCATCCCAGATTAGGGGCCTGAGCACTTCCCATAGAGGCAGCAGGTCTAGAATAAATCAGTATTAAAGGAGAGCAGAAGCTGAAATACAAACGATGCAAGTTTTAGCAGTACTCAGTTGCATCCATTTCATTTTGCCATACAGCAGCATCGCAGACTTAATTATGGATGTTACCTAGAACTGAGGTCTGTCTCTTCAGTCATGAAGCCATTATACTTTACCTTTTAACAAAACGAAACCAGTAGTTCAAGGATCTCTTTCAGCCTTGCTGTGATGAATTACATAAAGCTGCAGGAACTGAATGAATGGATGTGATAGAATACATCTCTCTCAAACCCCAAGTTTCTTGGCAGCTAAGCACTGCTGTGTCTCAAGCATAAGCTGACATTGTGAGGTTCCCCCTCCCAAAGGAGAGGTTTCCCATTTCTCCCTATTTAAGATGACCATACAGCACTTACTGGAGTGTCAGCAAAGGAAAATGATCGCAAACAAAGCACTTAAAATTCAGTCTTGAGAGCTGTTCACAAGTTGGAGTCAAGAAACCTAAAGATGTAAAAAGTTTTACACACCAAAGCACAAATGGCTGATACCATTTGTGTCATGGGGTCCTGTAAACATCCAGAATTATTTTTAATCTTCCGTGGACTAGTCTCTCACTTTACTGCCTAGCTGGAACTACAAATTAATCCAAGAATTGCTAGTACGTAGAGTAGATCACATGGTTAGTCCAGGGTTTGAGCATTAAAAAAAGAACAATCACGCCAAGCACTTAAGACTGCACAGCATCACAGCCATCCTAGCTTTAAAGCCATGTCAGCTGCACATCTCCATCTGCACTGTAGGAGATCAAGTAACACCGCATGCACTTGTTAGACTTCAGCAATTGCCCAAGATCAAGTAGTTTTAAAAATCATGGCTTTGTATTGTAAGATTGGATAGTGATATTTTATCCACTGGTATGTATATAGTAGTCATTTCACCCGTGTACCATTTTACATCCCACTATTGTGGCCTTCATTTAACTTATGAACATTTTAAAGATGTTGTATTTCTGACTTTACACTAATAAAAACTTTTGATTTGTCTCACTTCGGTTTAACATTTGTAAACCCTAAAACTTCTTGTAACTATTTGTAGTCAAAAAGTGAAAATGTGGTAGAGTTTGCCATCATCTTCATTATTTCTGCATAGCTGAAGTGACTGAAAGACTAGATGTAATTAGCAAGTATTAAAATTAAACCTGGGTTAATTAACCTATTTTCAGCAAGCTTCCAGTTTCAGACTTGCTTGGTATTTTTACCTGTTAATTTTACATTTCTATATACTTTTCTGCTGGCTAAAGGAAAAAGATTGGTAGACTGCATCCAGTGTTGTCAAAAGCAAAAACTTGCACCTCTCCAAGCAAAAGAACATTAAGCCAAGTTAGAAGAGATTTTACCTTTTCCTACACAGTGTAGGTAATGAACTGTACATTAGACAGAAATCAGAATTATTACTTCATCATACCTTCATGAATGTGGATGTTAACTCAGGAATAGCTTCAGTTGTAATTAAATAAAAAGGTCTCAGTCCTACTTAGCCTTCCCTGAATATAGAAAATTCTCAGTCTGGGATTTGGAGTCTTCAGTAAAACCACTTTTACTAAGCAGGCTGTCAACATCTGATGGAGTTCCAAAGACAACTGACAATTTTAATAGCAAGGCATCCCGGAACTGGATTATCATTAGTTTGTTAATTTCTAAGCACTTTCAAGCAGCCATGATAGCAAAATCAAGGATTTTTCCCCAGAATACCTGTTCAGATATAAATGGACTAATGTGCAGGAACTGTGGGTGAAATCTCAATGTAACAAGTGTCACTGGAAGGGGGCTCCTCTTTTGCCTGGCTTTCTAGATCTACTGCCTCAAATCCCCAAAGCTCTGATATTTCTTCCCCAACTACTAGTGTAAGACTAGATTCAAGCAAGCTGATTCTATCTTCAGGTTCCAGGTAATTGAAGACATTAAGTTAGTACTAAAGTGAGATAGACTTTACACAGTATTACTGCAAACAGCACCCTGGAGTTGTGGCCTCACAAGACCATTTTACCCATAATAAATGGCTTCTTATCTACTGAAGTGAGGTACAAGCAAAGATGCTGATGGGGCATTAAATCAAGACTTTATGGGAACCTTAAGTTCAAAACCCAAAAGGAAGACTAGCATCCCCACTGTGGGGTGACCAATCATTGGAGTAACTGTATCACACCAAACAAAAACACCCCTCAAAACAAAAACCAACCCCAAACCACACCCAAATGTTGTAATAATTCCAAAAGCATTTTATGAGGCTCAGAGAAGATTCTTTCAAAAGCAGCACTGAAATGCACTCAACAGCTGTTACTAGCAGGATACTGCACTGGTAACAACTTCTGTTGCTGAGAAGCCCCAGGCAGGAGGAGGAATCTGGAGTCTTCATGTCTTACCTTTTGCATGTAGATCCTAAATAAAAGAGGAGGGAACTTGCACTTATCTTCAAAAAAAAAACCCTCCCAAAAGCCTAACAAATAACAAGAGGCCTTCCCATGTAGTTCACACAAAATAGGGTCCATTATAATTCACTTTGGAACACTTCAGCATAAGCACTTGAAGACACTGGCTTCTTCATTAGGGTTAATTAAGCATTTATTTGCTAGGGACTTCCATGGAATCTTTGCCGACTCAGTTTCCTGTAAAAATATTACTTTAAGTGAACTAACATGCCAGGCACAAGGATATCTGTTAGGTTCCTTATGAATTAATGTATTTCTACTTGTTTTTTATGTATGACTGCTTTTGTTAGCATTTTACATCCTATTAGTATAGGCAGCTGCCAAGCAGCAAGAGGTTTCTGGTGACTGCAGTTTTATTGTCTGTTTTAATATACAGCTGAACTTTATCAAAACAAAAGTTTCTTTTACAGTATGTCTTTATTTAAACTATGAGAATGCCCAGTTACTCACATCTGTAAAAAACTTAATCCATCAAAAATTCTTATCTATATTAATAAATTTAATGTTAAGCAAGAACTATTAAATATTTTTAGGAGGCAATGTACACATAGCAAGTGTTCTATAAACAGAGGTCATACAACTCTGGCTTGGAACATGAGAACTATAAAAGTTTGAAAAAATCGTCTGTATGTCACTTCTTCAGATTTGGTACCTGCATTCAAAAGTAAAACAAGTCACGTAAACTACCACTTGCTTTATGAATATTCTATTTTAAAATATACCTTAAAAATAAATTACTGTAACCAATGTCTAAAGTGAACAGGTGACCACCCATGTAACAAGATCAACTAAAATAAATAATGTACAATAAAATTGTTGCTAGCTCTAAATCATCATACAAAAACAATTATTGCATTTAGCTCTGCACAGAAAATACGTTTTCTCATAGCAACGTGAACTGCTATAGATGCTACAGCTATACTATCATCTTCTTTTAGCTGAAAAGTGTAAACAGCTAATTTTGTGCTAGAGCTGCAAAAATAAAATAATTTATTAATGTTTTTAAAAAATAGTTAGAGGAAGTTTATCTCCAACTAATACTAATTTCTAGGAATCTTCAAATCTTAAGAATCTTCAACTTAAAATCAGTAGACCAACTTGTAACTTCACTTTTATTCTGAATTTGAAACATCAGTTAACTCCTCACAGATAGTATTTCTCTTTAAAAAAGGGAATCAAAGAAGTTTCAGAAGATTAAAAGAGGTTACAGAATTAAAATAGGAGGTTAAGTAACAGTAAGTCCTCCTTTTTCCTTCAAATCTCAGGAACTTGCATGCCATCAGGCCCACTGAAGTAGCATACCAAAAATTACTATTATTTAGACCTAAAAATACTAGCTGGAAGTAACTCAGTCCTTTCGTACTCTCCTTTTGCGCACTGATTTCAGTTGACCGTCTCCAGAACTTGTGCTTTTATCAGCTTCTTCCTCCTGAGGGAAGAAAAATAAAAACCACATTAAAATTTTAAAATTATTTTAATTTAATTATTGAAACTGACACATTACTTTATTCCTCCTCTCAACTGCCCCAATCATATCACTAAATGTAACACTTAAGCAATAGGACTTTTTCTTCCACAATACTAAAGTCGGTAGAGGACTTTCCCCTTCTATATTCAGAAGGAAGAAAAGAGTACATCTAAACTGATGTCAGAAATTTGGGTTTGCCCATCTACTCACTGGTTTAAAAGCGGTGACTTTTTGATGAATTTAGCAACTTCCTTAAAGTGTATCTTATGCCCATTTTAATTGCCACTTCTTAAGCAAGAAAGATTTGAAACATTCTGACTACTGCCTTTGGAGAGCCACAAATAGAACAAACTGTTCTTAAATCAGATGCGTTCTTCTCAGTTTAAAAGCGGTAAGTTTATGGAGGTGCATGAAAAACCTTCCCAAGACGAACTCCATTCTCAGACAGCACACTGCTGCCTCGCTATCCTGCCTCACCTAATGGCAGGCACCTCATCCCGGAGGAACAGCTCACAGAATGTGGCACAGCTGGAGTGAGGACATGGTGTACATGACATCTCCCAAGTAGGTCACTAGCTAACTCATGACAGAAACTTGTACACCCTGAAAACACCCAGAGAAGAGCAAGCCGTAACCTCGCTGTGATGGCATATTGGCACTCGGATCTTGTTATCCCTTTCAGAGAGTCACATGCATCTTAATGGGGTTCATCAGATACTGTATTCCTAGGTAAATGTACAAGGAAAAAAACCCAACTTCTTAAAGGAACAAGAGGAAGAACTGAATAAGGGGTAATTAATGAAGAATTTCAGTGCCGAAAGAACGCAGCCTCATGCAAGGTACAGTATCCTAGAGAAGTTTTATATGAAAAGAAGGGAACATTAATTAAACTCTCCTAATCTGGGAAGGGACTAGTTTAGGGAGTGACAAGCACAAAATGACCAACAGAAATACTGTGGGTGGGTCTAAAGCATTTCAGACATACTAGAGTTTCAAATGAAAGAATAATGAGTAGTTGATGAGCAAGAAAAGCACATGCAAATTCCATTCTACAGTGTTATATTCTAAAAAATAGTTTATAGATTATCTGGTGACTGGATTGATACGCACAAGGAAAAATGAAACTGCAGGTGCTGAATTCAGAACCAGTATAATAAATTTTGCTTAAAACCTTATTTTGGAATTAAAACAAGCTTAAGGTTTTTCTAGGTCTCACTGAAAGGTTATTCAGTTAGAAGCACATGTTCCATCAATTAAGTAGCATGATAAAAAGCAAAACTACTGCAGCACCCAAATTTTCAAGACTTGCAATTCATTTAATAACCAGTTGAAAACTATACTCCTGTGAAAAAGTTACCTGTTTAGAGACCTGTACAATCACTTCCATACTATACTTATATTTTACAATAAATATCACCTCCTAGCCAAAATTACATAGGAAGAGACACATTTCACAAATCTATACAGAGCATTTGAGGTGTCAAATATAAAGACAATTTGTTTCATGGCTCAAGAGAAGCAAAACTCTTGTAGGTAACTGGGCTTAGAAGTGTGATGTTGGACAAGGGCAAGGAGAAAATAAGGGGAAAAACCCCAAACTTACCTCATCTTCTGAACCAGATTTATTTGAATTAACACCTTCTTGACTTCCAACTGCAACTTCATTTGCTGCTTCATCATCAATATCTCCATCATCTTCAACCTCACCTTCTGCAGAAGAAATTAATTTTTACTTTGTAAACAGAACTACATTCAAAATACACTATATCCAGACACGCTAGTAAGGAAAACAAGCCCATTTCAGTCTTAAAATAAACTGCTTGTTTACAATAACCCATAAAAGCATCTCTGTGATACAGAGAGAACAATTCTTATGAGTTAGTAGAAATTAATCACCAATTTTAACAGCTTCAGCCTAGCCTTTTTTCTCAGTAACACATACTCTCTTCAGACTTGTGGCTGACTAAAATGACAACCTTAGGTTGGTTTCCTTTAGGGAAGTCTTTATATCCAAGTATTGTATTAGGCAGTTTTGAGACCAGATTCCAAAACAGGATGACTCAGGCATCCCAAATCTGAATAAATTCTGATTTAGGTAGTGAAGTACAATATTGCAGATATCAGTCATCCACCATGGGGGATGCCTACATCCCAAGTGCACTCTCCAGCAGGGAATTCTTTTGGCATACTGTTTTGGTTGAGGGATAAGCAGCTCTGAGCTTACCCCCTTCTTATGCCTTACTGCAATGCAGAAAGGGGTCAGAAAAGCACCATACTCTCCTCAGCTCACTCAAAGTACATCCAGCTTGCACTACTAGGATAAAACTATTCACATAAGCAGTAAACTTTCTATGAGACCTAGTGTCAGTTACACCTTTGAACTGAAAGGGACTGCAGAGGAAAAAAAAAACAAAACAAAACCCACTCAAGAACGTACCTTTTTACTCTCCAGAATTTCCTGGACAAACTATAGGCTAAGCAACACAGAGACAGTTTCTGTGTTATACTGAGGCTACGTCACTGTACTGAAGAGCAATGAATGCACCAAATACTGTGAATTCTAGGCTGCTTGCTCTCTGATGAGCACATAGGTTGCCATTGTAGGGTAACCAACTCTCTATATTTTGTGAAGGAGGCCTGGTATCCAACTGTTTTGATTTCCACTCTGGGCTTCAGTACTTACAAGCTGGCACTCCTATGCCTGCATTTTAGGTATCCATGCTCATTATAAGAACTAAATCTCAGCAACCACAGCATCATTCAGAGAAAAGTTACTGGGGTTTGGCAAGTCTCTTTTACTTCAAACTGAGGTCTTGAAGTGAGAATTTCTGGAAATTAAGTACCCTTTGCAATACTTTCTATTGGAAGTAAACAAGATATCAGATCTAGAAATCTGATAGAGAGCATACAAGAAGGCATTTTACATCTTAACAGTCTGCCAGTGGCTCAGTTAAAAACAGTAATGAAGCAGTGCTCAATTCTATCCTTGTCAGGTCATGCCTACGTCTCATAAGCACTACTTCAGTGTTAAAAAAAACGAAACCAAAAAGCCAACACTCACATCTGCCCCCCCAATTTTGTTTCAGCTCAGTAAAACTGCAACAAAAGTAACCACAAATTCAGAGGGTAGTCACATATAAGATGCAACTCTCCTGATTCTTGATGAAAAACTAGAAAACCCTGATTTATTAAAATATTTGAGACTTCTGTAGGAGTATCAGAAATTTTGCCTACAGCATAGCTATAAATTGAACCAAACAGTTCATAACAACTAGTGAAACTCTAAGAAATTAGTCTTCCATCTGTAAAGATACCTTTTACATGTCTACAATAATGTCTCTGCTATTGTTATCAAAAGGAGAAATATGACAAAAAAAATGAAGGTTTTAGTTTTAGATAGATGTAGACAAAGATTTCTGTTCTAAAAATAGGCCCTTAACAGAAGAGCTTGGCAAAAATTCACAAAGCCTTTGCTCATATTCTGAAAAAGAGATCAGAAATCTTAAATGATGCAAATCCAGCACCTCCCATAATTTCAACAGATGGGAAAAAACCCAAAAACAAATCACTTCAGACATCAGAAGCAGTAAAATCCAGAAGTGGACTACAGTATTTAAGAAGTATTAATTCGAAGTTAGTCTAATACTAAACAGTATTTCATATAAATTAATGTATTACTTCACAAATAAAGTTCAGACTGTCACCCTGAAATTCCATTTCTTGGCGACATTTTTTTACTCCTAAAATATTTTTTATAGAGGGCAAGGAAAACAAGGATACAAAGCAGATGAGTGGACAAGTCAAGATCATCCTTTAGCAATGCCCCAAAATTTAACATTGAACAAAATAAAACAGTAAATCCCACAGAAAATGCCCTTCAAGCAGCAATCTGCCAGCAACCCATTCTCACTGGAGCCAAAGAAATCTACAAGTGTTTCTGAAATTTGCTGTTGTGCTACTGTTTTCTTTCTTTTTAATGGCCCTATGATAAAATGTGAATGTCAAGCCCTTCAGTATTCCACAGCTCAAACCCTGTTACCTTCAACTCCAGAAAACAAAAAAAGCAGATGCCGACTATAAAGTAAGCATAAAAATTAATAGGATCCAAAGAGACTAGCAGAAAATATTTATGACTACAGATACCATACTGAGAAATCTCAACAGAAACTCACATACCTATCTGATGAAAGCTGGCATCCACCAGCTTGAGGTTCTACCCTTAAGGAAGCAGAGTGCAAAAACCAGAAAGGAGACACCATTTTCAAGACCTGGCCCAAATTACTTCCCTTTCCCATTACCTGAAGGAGGAGTCTCCCTTCCCATCTTTTTTGTATCCTTTATAAACTCTCTTTTTGTCTCCTCCATTTCTCTTCTCTCTGTAGCAAAAAGAATCAGCAGAAGGAGGCAGAATACAAATTCTCTAAGGCTTTCAGATATGAAGAGGCAAAAGCATGATAGAAAAAAAGGGAAAATTTCAACCTGAAAATGTAAAAGGTGGCAGGAATCTAAGAGAAGCTAAGCAATTCTTACACAAAGAAAAACTGGGAAGTCATATGACAGCAAATTGTAATCCTTCCCTCTGAAGCTCAGAATTTACTTGAAAACCTTGGAGTAGTCATACAAAAGCTATTAGTTTTACTCTGTGTTCAGTTTAGTAACTAAAAGGTCTAAAATGGAACCTACTTTTGAAACATCATAAACAGCTGTTCCAAGTGGAATTCTTTAAAAGTTGTGGGAGCTAAACAGTGTTCCAACATTGTTAGAAATAAGGTCCAGGCATTCAAACACGCACTTTGTCATATTAAATGATGTGTTGTAATTAACTAAATGACTGACTTAACAGGAGAATAATGGCATTCAGGTATCTCGGCCTTGCAACAGTAGCATATAGGTACAAAATATATCTATGCTCTGCATCAAGACTGTGTGAAACATTCTGTAATCCAGAAGCAACGAGCACATCAGAAAGAAAATGTAGAAGACAATGCTGAAATACTGTATCTACAATTTATGCTAATGTAAAAAAATGTATGTAGCATAACTAAAATAATTAAATGACTAGGTAAGGCTCTTGAATGGTACAGCAGATGGACTAAGTTTGGTGTGGCAAGCATCATGCCAACGACCTACTCAGTCCTGTAAGTACTGGTATGGCAACATCTGATGCAGAGTAAGCTTTTAAATCATGCAGGCAGAAGCCATCAACACTCACGGAACATAGTGCAGACACAGAAAAAAACCACAAAGTTTCAGTCAGCATTACAAAGCAATGTCAGTACTAAAACCAAATAAAAATGCCAACCATGAATATCTACAAAGTTTCTAACTTTCTATGCCCATCACTTGTCACTTTCTTTGTTCCTACCAAGGAAAAGTGAAGAGGCAGAATCTTGCAAAGGTCTGAGGTTAAGGATTTTCTCATGAAAGTCAAGATAATGCACTGTAAGTCAGGTGAATTGCTTTTTATTCATTACTACAGACTCAGGGAAATGCTAACAGAACAAAGTCATAGCTGAATAGTACCAGTAATCTTTGATAGAGTAACTGAAGATTATTTTATCCTTAAGATGCCAAAGTATAGCTTAACCTACCGAATTTCTCCCTTGGGGCAGCAGGACAGGCCTCTGCAGGCATGCAATGCATTGCTAGAAAGCAACACAAAGGAAGCTTCAGGATTTTGAGTCTACTCTATTTTCAGGCTTTAGCAAGAGTTACTAGAATCAGTGACCAAAAGAATACAAAATACAACCCTCCCACAGAGGGGCAAGTAGACAGACTTAAAGATTTAAAACTATTCCAGACACATTTTGAAGACAACGTGACTTTAACCACTTCAGGTACATATATCTGAACCATTCAAATGTGTTCAATATACAAAGTATTTTGAAGGGAGAAAATATGCATCACTGTCTAACAAACATAAAAAGTCTGTTGGAAGCATGTTAATTTCTTAAAAGGGAAAAAATACTGAGGAAAGCCTTACTTTCTGCTTGTAGTTATCAAAGAGCTATTAGCCATGGAATGCCGCTTGCTAGAGGTTGTCCGAGAGAAAAAGAAGGCTCAGAGCAAGGCAGGTCTTGCATATTCTAAGATAACTGGTTGTAGTTATTGGCAGTGAAATCCATGAACTAGTCCTATTCATGTCTTTACATTTCATCAAACTGCAAGCTGGCTTGCTCATCTTACCATCTTCAGCAGTGTCTTCATTTTCTTCTTCTAATTCTATTTCATCATCTTCAAACTCATCTCTCTCATATTTTAGTTCTCCCTTTGGAACTGGCTTAGATACATCAAGTTTTCTGAAGTCAGTATCTTCTTCAGATTTCTACAACAAATTAAAAATCAATTTATAATTCTAACTTGAGTTTAAATAAACACAACAATCACTGTAAGCTAAGTAATATCAATGGCACATTTAAATATTGTTGCACAGATGCTTAGAGTTTTCAAATAAGATATTAAGAATCAAAGCAATTCAAAATAAGTAAATTTCTCTAACCTTTGTTGGCCAGCAGAACAACACACCTAGACCAACAGGGAGAGCTAACGTCAAGATGTAAAGAAGCCAGAGCCATGGGTGGTCTTCAGCAGCAGTCACCAGTTGACTGAACATACCAGGCTATATTAAAAACAATTAAAAAAAAAAATTGTGTTTACATCCCTCTCAACACTTTAATAATTTTATAAAGTGTACTGTATACATATTAAGCTTTACATTGCCCAAAGAAAACCTTTCTTTACCTTTGTTTTTTAATGACTAAAACAATACTGGATTTCAATACTAGTAAAGTAACGACTTGACAGACTGCAAACAAATAGCAGGTGCTAAGTAGGAAGGAACAAACCTGGTACTCCAAATATACTAGAGTGGCCACTACTCAGTCTTGTAAAGCAACATTTAGAGTTTTGGTAACCTCACACTTTACACCCATCCCAGCTACTCTATTTTTTCTCCATACTGTGTTAACTCAGCTGAAAGCTGCCAAAGCATCAAGAACCTCAAAGCAGCAGCCAGCCTCCTGAAGCGCAATGTCTTGCTCTATCTGTACTACCACATTCTCTTCTTTGACAGCCAATTATCCAGGGAGTAAACTGTCCTCCCAGCCCAGTCTGGACTTACAGAGAAGAGGTAGACAGACAAGTGCCTGCTCCAGTAAGCCCTCTGCAAAAGGTACATCAGCAACTAAGGTAGGAAGTTTGAGGGGCACAGTGGAGTGAGGGGACTCAAGGAAATTTTTTTTCCTGCTGTGTACAGGTATAGATGCAGGTTTGGACATAAACCCAGACATTTCAGAAGAGGACAAGGTTGTGGGAAGAGGTGGCTTTCCTAATCACACAGGCAGATATGCTGTTGCTATTTGCTCATCCTGTGACAAACAGCAGCTGTCAGGAATCAGCCACATCTGCCACCACAACTTTCCCACAATTGCAGGCCTGCTCTTGCCACTCAAAGAAAACGTAGAACTGTTCAAAAGAAACTGTACTCAGTAAAGGCAGCCACTAGAGGGGCTCACGATCTTGTATGTCAGCAGAAGTTCATCCTACAGCACAGGAAAGAGATCCAGAAAAAAAGCCGTGGCACCTGGCCAAGTGAAGTATACAAAGAAAGTGTGGATGCACACATAGAAACAGAAGAACAGATGCAGCTCCATAAACAGACGTGCAATATTTTTAGAGCTGCATAATATACATCTAAGCAGCCAAAGGTCTAAAACTATTAAACAGAAAAAACCCACATGACTATTTATCCACTCTTCATCAGAGGGAAACATGTAAAGAACATATAAAACAGAGCTAGCCACAAGTGAAAAGAAAAGAAAGGGGGGAAAAAAAAGAGGTCTTTGAGTGTAACTCACTCAGCTTCCATATGCTGGCAGGTAATGAATTTCTAGTATCACTGTGAACAGCAGAAGACTCGTTAACTATAAAAAAGCGAATCTCTCACTAAGTGTTGAAGTAAAATGTTGTACCCTTTTAATTTCAAGAGGATATTGATCTGGGAAAGGTAAAGCACCAAACAATGAGGAAAAAAACCAAAACTATCAGAGTTGATTAGCAAGATTATTAATTGCACACAAATTAATATTTTGTCAGTATTAATCAACAGAAAATTCTTCCCACTCATCTTCCTCACTACTTTTGGCTATCAAGAACATAGTAAAGTTTATACCTCATTAGCACTTGCTACTAATTTCTTTAAGCCCCAGCCATCCGCTGCCCAACGATCTGCTACTTCTTTTTCTGAACATATAATGAAGTTATCAAAGTAGATATTGGATGTCATAGACCAGAGTTCTAAGCCAATAGCACTGACAGTGATCATCTCGAATGGGTGAAGATCTTCAAAATAGTCTGGATTAGGTATTTTCCGAGGGCTCCAGATTCCCTTTTAAGGAAAAAAAAAAAAAGTAATCACATTACCAGTACCTCAGTAAAAAACACACTGTGAAACAAATTCTAAAATAATTAGAACTTCCTGACTATTTAAAATGCATTCTTTAACAAGATAAGCAGAAGAGTTTAACCTACATTAAAACAGATTTGTAAACAGCCAATCTATAGGATTTTGGCAGATGGGTCTCAATTTTCTGGTTTAGGGCAGACCTCTTTTTTTTTTTTTTTTGTCCCTACAGGGTTACAGTAATAACTGGCTGTACAAAGTATCTCCATTCTTCCTGGAACTGTTGATTCCAAGCACACTCTTTGTAAACTTCTTAAGAGTAAGTCTAGGAAACAAACTTCCTAGTACTGCAGAAAAATAAGGCATTGGTATTACTTCTTCCTCTAGTCTCTCCTTGGGCAATATATGTTTGGCTTTTGCTGATCAATATAGCACACACATTTTTCTAAGGGCAAGGCCAGTATTTTATGGCCAGCAATGGAATCTTCCAAGGTAAGCATCTATTATCTGGTGGCTCCATGGGAACTACATCCCATGATAAACATGATCCCTTCCAGTACATATAAACAAACCGACAGCTACTGTAACCAGAAGTGTTAGGGAAAAATATTAAGGAAGGGAAATTCAGCTTTATGATACCTGGACAAATTTTGTTTACAAATGTACTTAGAATCTTAAGCTCAAAGAAATCAGATTCAAGTACTCCCCATCTATAATTAATACAAAGTAAGTCTCTAACGTCCAACTGATTAGCTCATATCTGGAGAGGAGGAAGGGAATTTGATTATCCAAAATTGATGCTTCCACTAAAATGGAACTAGTAAGTCAATCTGTTTACTGAAAGGTTTCATTTTTTTAATTATGAAAAAGTGTTAAAAGACCTACACTTAAAGCCCCAACAAAAGAGAAATATTTCATTAAATAACGTCATTCAGAATACAATTCTGCACAGCATATTAAACAAGTGGTACCAGGACAAATCATTGCAAAAGCAACTTTTAACATATAAATTGTTGTAATACAGGAAGCATTTCCGCTGTCTAGTATATTTAAAGAAAAAAAGCAAATTAAATACACAAAACCTCAAAATACTTAGTGAGGGTGTTGAGACTCATTCCAAAATATACTGTAAAAAAGCCTAGATAAATATACTACTTTGAATTGCCAGTTTTGTTGAACCCTATCTTTTAACAACATACAATATCGCTATTACCTGATAGTTAGGATTATCTATCATAGGTGCTTTCCATTTTCCTTTATAGTTCGGGTTATTCTTCATGGGACGCACCCAGTGTCCACAACCAGGTGCAGTCTCACACTTTGGATTAGGGATCTGAGGGGCTTCCCACTCCCCATCCATTTCTTCATCCCTACAGAAAAAAAAAATTACAAACAACTGATTTGAGATGGACTGGTCTAAACACTAGCAGTCAGTCTGAAGTTAAGGTCCATACACATTGTGATGTAACAACCTCAGAATTTTGACCACCTCACAGAACTTTCCCCAACAGTATAAACACTTTTCTTTAAGGGGTGTTAACCCCCCCTTTTTTTTAATAAAGGTCACATATTCATAATTACCACAGCCTGACTGAATGCAATTACATTCCTGCGTCTGCAGACAGCTTGAAACAGTTCTCCATAAGATCCTTACAGATCCCTTTAGGACTATTATATCATGATTTCAAGTTACCAACTTAATGGTTTCATAGTTTAACACTGCAGCACATCTTTCAAATAAGTTCTTCATATTTTTGTTTTGTTTAAATATATATATATATATATATATTTTTTTTAATATTTTTTTTTAAATTTTTTTTCAGAAAACAAAAGGCAATAGACATGTTCACCTTCTTCTAAAAGCAGCCCCTACAACAAACATTTGGCCATACCTTGCACATTACAACTTACTACCTCAAAAGCCAATGAGATTTGGATTGGCTTCTGATCCACAACGCACAATTTGAAACAGAGAATAGGTAGGTTTATCTGCAAGGCATGTTAACAACCTGCACTTATTGAATCAAGCTCTTACCAGTCCCTTGGTTTTTTTGCATTAGGGTCTGGAACATACTGCGGTTCATCATCAAGCCATCCCTCAGGCTTAACAGCATTGGGATCTTCTATTTTGGAAGGTTCATCTTCGTCCCTTCAATTACAGACTTATGTCAGAAAATAGAGCAGCCTGACTTTGAACCAATGTTCTGTTCAGAGGACTGTAACTGGCATGAAAAGCATCATTTTCAAAGGCACAACAAAATTAGACACACTGATCATGAGAATTAGACATCCAATTATCTGTTTCTAAATATCTGAATGATACTGACATTCTTTCAGAGTACTACTTAGCCTAGAAGTTGCTGCCATCAATTGGCAGGCGTCAGTCAGGTCTTCTCATTAAGTTTTTCCTCCTCTTTCTGAGCTGCCGTATGAACAGTAGTTCACACAGAAGTAGAACTCATTGAATGTCAATTAAGATTATGGGGTGAAAAAAGAAAACACCTCTTCCTAATCTTTCAGGTACAGTAATCTTGGTTATTAATTGCAACCACAGAGGGTGCAAAAGCAGCAAAAAGCACAACTTTTATTTCTCTCCTTGTAGCAGATCCTTGTCTCCACCTCAATGATGTTTTCAAACTTCAGTGCTTTTCTTAGTGAAAAATATCCCAAGCCTCATTAGCAAAAACCAAAATAAAACCAGTCAAATTTTTCAAGTTAATAACCTGCATGTAAAAGGTATTGTACAGATAAAAACATTCTCCTTACCAGTCATCTGGTTTGACAGCATTTGGATCAGGTATTTTTGGTCTCTCATCCCAATCATCAGGCTTCTTATCACTTGGATCCTCTATTTCTTTGGGAGGGTTTACTGGAGGAACCACATCCTCAAGAAGGCTTCCTTTACTGACGACTGTTTGGTCAATTAACATTTCAAATGTATCGTCTGGCTTTAGCACTAAATTGAAGAAATTTGTATAAAACAAGGGAAGGATTCATTTTATAAATATCTTTAACTAAAAGCTATATAATAAGCACAGACTTAAGACAAAAAAGAGCAAACAGGATCCTCACGAGCAGAGCAGGAGGCAGACTTCCCACTCAGGTACTGGATCCAGACACAAAACATTAAAGTTGTTACTGCAGAGATGACCAGCATCAGGCCCCTAAAAACGAAGCCTCTATCAAATTCAACTGCTGAAACATATCCAAGCACATTCTAAGAGGTTTTTCAAAAACCTGCCACCTGGCCAAAATTCTGCTTTATTTATTTACGTAAAAACACACTGACAATGAAAGACGAACCTCTGCCCCAAAAGGCATATCTGCTACCAAATTACAATTTCACACCTGAAAGCATGGAAACAAGAACTGCATCAATACACAGCTGAAGGATCAAAGCAGCATCTTCTCTCAGATTCAAATCTCTTGACAGCCATTTCCCTCAAATGCCAGACTGAAAATCAGAAAATTGCCTTCAAATGTTGAAGTACTTTAGCAAGTGTGAGTAACTGAGAAGCAAGGGTCATAGAACTGAGCAGTGGTCAGACTCAGCAACAGACACTGTATCCAGATCAATTTCTAATAACCAGTGAGCACACTTATAAGCACTTAACATTATCTTCAAATGTCCATTCAACACAACAGATTATTAATTCAATGTAAATACTGTTCCACTTTTATGAAAAGTTTTATAAAGATGGGTCATGAAAACCAGAGGCTTATGACAGTCTGATAATGCTCTTGCAGCCTGCAAGTTTTCAACAGCATTAAAACATGCATAAATGTAAAAATTAAAATCTCGTATCGCTTTAGATACAAAGATGATTTTTAAACTTCTGTTATCAGTCACATAAAGCATTAGATTCATGCAGCGCTATGGAGTCTATTTGAACAACTGCAACAGAATAAACACAATCTGAGTTTAAGTGTCTTCAATCATAATTTCTAACAAACAGCCCAAATACAGGAACATAAGCATTCCTTTACCACAACAGTGTTTTGTTTCACTTATTATCTAGAAGTGAAAGTCTGCTATGGCACAGTACAGTAATCTATTTTAAAAACCATTAAGTTTTCCCATGGCACAGCAGTTGAACATGCCTTCCATTATTATTTAGTGGAAGGTCAAAAGTACAGTAAGTTTTGCTGGACTTGCAGTATGCAACAGATTAGCCCATTCTTCTCGGATTATTTATTCTTCCTCAGAAATTAGAAAAAGGGGTAGAAAAGACCTAAGAAATTAAACTTCCACCTCTCATTCTGTTCTTTGGTACAGAAAGAGATTTCACATGAATTGTAACCAGCCCATATTCATTCATCTTCAGAGAATGCCGTAACATATCTGTTCATGCATTCTGCTGCAGATGCAGGTGTTAGTGAGAACTCTTAACATGCAGAGGAGTGACATGCAGTATGCTGCAGATTTAACTGAATTCCTGGGAACTCTTGACACCTTCCCAGAATATTGGACAGCTGTGTGTTTTTTAATATCTCAAAAATATTTTTACAATAATAAGTACTGAAAGTATTTATCAATTCTTCACGCTAACAGCTGTCCAGGGCTGATGTTTTTTGCTGTAATTGAATATTGAACAGCAGCATTTGAAGGCCACTTATGTCCTGCAGTTAAGCCCAGTCATTAAATCATTTAAGACCAAATCATTAAGCAGCCATCCCCCAGAATTGAGAGACTAATACAAACAAAAAAGCAGACTCAAATACAAAGCTTCCATGGCAGAAACACATCTTTAATCCCTCCTTTCCAATTTAAACTTGTGAGAATTAAACAATACCAAGAGTATATAGATGCGTCTTCTTGTCCAAATAGAACTTTTTTAGGTCTACGTCAGGACGTTTAGCATGTTTTTCATCATATTCTCCCGTTTTAGGATTCTTATGTCTGAAGATAAAGTGCAGTTTGTAATCTTCTCCACATTTATCTGGTCCAAACATAATAGTATAAGGTGTTTTGTCAAAAAAGTATTCCTGTAGAAGCAAGAAAGCTGAGCATGTGTTATACAGAACACTTTATGAAGTCATTTTGGGTACTTTTTTTCCTTGATGCTCTGTCATACAGCACAGTTACCTTTTTCTAAAAGGTAACTGAAAATTGGTAGGGTAAACCCTGAAAGGAATTGAACAGTCCTCTTGAATTGCTGGGTGCTTTCTGTTCTCAGGGAACACACTAACCGTAAAGATCACTTAAGCTTCTTCAAGGAAGATTAATGTATTTATTTAGACCTTACCCTCACGTTAAGTAGAAATGCCCATCATTAATCAAATCACCCAAATATCACTATGTTTCTAAAAACATTATACTAAAAGATGGAAGGGAACTAACTATGTTCTTTGTAACAACTGTATTTTTCAATAAAGATAAAACTCAGGATATTATTATCCAGTATTTTGTCAGTCTTCTTGCTCCACAGTAATTAACAACAGCAACAATAATAAACAATCCTGAAAATACCAGATATAGTTATTCTCCTTCAGAGTATGTTGCATTAAGCTGTTCGGATATGTTAGTATTTATCAACTATTTACATGATTTTTGCATTTGGAATATGCAGTAACACGGTGCCTTATATTCTCAAGCAATTGCTTGAAGGAAGAAAACCACTTGATTTCTGCAAGTTTTCTTCTTGAAAAATATATTTTGACATAAATGTATTGTTTGAAATGAGTCTGTATTTTAATTTTTTTAATGGAAAGTAAAACATTTTTATTTTATGCACTACAGAAGTGCGTGTACTTTAAGTTTGGTCCCTTTTATAACATTCAACAGTTTTAGGAAAATGTCACTGATAAGAATTAACAATAATTAACTGAATATTCTAATACCAATAAGCACATATACAGCACTGATACACACTCAATTTTAAAGTTAAAAAACAAGAAAAAGAGCACCTTGACTCTTTTTAAGTTACTTCATCACACAGACAGTGAAATTCCAAAAATCACACAGGATGAATTGAGAGCCAGGCCAGAAACAGGCAAATTTTAGATTTGCTGTCTTCTGGTTTATCTTCTAGTAAGATGACATATACTGGAGAATTACAGTTTCATGTGTAATTGAGCTGAATATCTTGGTCTCACACCTTTTAAAGTGTAAAACTTTTCAGTTTTACTATCATTTACACATCTTTCCATTATGAAATATGTCATGCCTCTACTTGTCTGTATTTTTAATGTTTATCTATAAGTATTCAAGTTATTTGAGCATAAAAAACAAGCTGGCACATAAATTTTAGTATAAATTTTGGAAAAATACTTACAAGCAACTTCCTACGCATGTTGCCATCTCCTAGACCCTTGAAGAGGTACATATTATTCTTTATATTCCATGAAGAGTCTTACTGTTAAGTGCCTCTTCCTGACAGCCCACAGCATGCCCAGGTGGCCAAGAAGGCCAATGGCATCCTGGCTTGTGTCAGCAATAGCGTGGCCAGCAGGGACAGGGAAGGGATCTGACCCCTGTACTCGGCACTGGTGAGGCCGCCCCTCGATTCCTGTGTTCAGTTTTGGGCCCCTCACTACAAAAAGGACATTGAATGACTCGAGCGTGTCCAGAGAAGGGCAACGAAGCTGGTGCAGGGTCTGGAGCACAGGTCGTACGGGGAGCGGCTGAGGGAACTGGGGGGGTTTAGTCTGGAGAAGAGGAGGCTGAGGGGAGACCTCATCGCCCTCTACAGCTACCTGAAAGGAGGGTGCAGAGAGCTGGGGATGAGCCTCTTTAGCCTAGTAGAAAGCGACAGAACAAGAGGGAATGGCCTCAAGTTGCTCCAGAGGAAGTTCAGACTAGATATTAGGAAGCATTTCTTTCCAGAAGGGGTTGTTGGGCGTTGGAATGGGCTGCCCAGGGAGGTGGTGGAGTCCCCATCCCTGGAGTGATTTAGGAGTCGCACTGACATAGTGCTGAGGGATCTGGTGGAGTTGAGAATTGTCAGTGTGAGGTTAAGGGTTGGACTAGGTAATTTTCATGGTCTTCTACAACCTAGATGATTCTGCAACTGCTGGTGAAGGCAGCAGCAGTAGGCACAGATGTCTCAGGAACAGAAGCACAGACAAAAAAATCTTACCCAGAGAGGAAATGATGAATTCTGCCCACACTCCTGTTACAGTTTTTTTCAGACTATTCTCTTGTTTTTTCAACAAGCTTGCCTTTCTAGCTTCCCAAATCTTGGTGAGCAAATGGTACATTTGGTACAAATGATGCATCTCAAACCCATCAACCCCTGTAGCCTATACAGGTTGTAACTGTGATTGCCTTGAAAACTTCTGTCACTATACTACTGAATGTTGGCTCAACACCACCAATTAGCCATAAACCTGTAGCAGTTAGAGTAGTCAGCTGGCCACAGCAACCTGCTTCATGATTGGAAGTACCCTTATCACTTCATGTTTATACTGCTGAGTCAACATAAGTTCCTCCTAGCTCACGATGTAACCTTTCGAATCCACTCTGGTCATTTCAAGTCTGTCCAAATCCTGTTCTGTAACTGCTGATATGTACCAAAAGCACCGCCTCCCATCAAATCAGCTGCAGCAACTGTTGTATTTATCAGCCATCCCTCTCCGTCAACACATTTGTGCTACACAAGCTCCTAGGCCACAAATCACTGCCAGTTCTGAATGTTAAAAAAAAAGTTGCTAAAATACCCTCGATCACAGGTTAGACTGCTTACATCTACACCCCAGTGTAGTGGCAGAAACATTAAAAGCAATCAATTTGCACGTGCCAGAACTGGCAGCATTTTAAGCCAGAAATACCTGATTGCACCAGCGTAGTAATAAAGAGTCTTGCAGACAAGTTTGGAAAGGGCAGGCAAATTCACATGAACATACTGAGAAACAATCTACAAAATGGTCCAACATACTAAGGCACTTATGATTTGTCACACCTGATCATTCAGACCTTTTCCTGGGAACAGAGATTCTCCATCACTTTCAGTTTCTAAATTCTAGTGATGGCCCATTCTAAGGTGCCATGTTGTGTGCCATGCAGTAAAAAAATTGTTTCACAAGTTACAAGCTGAGATTCTATGGCTTCTATTATTGCAGAAAGTCAGGCTAAACAGATACAAAAGTCCTTTGTCCTGAATAGAAGACATCACTCATGCAGAACTAAGAGGAGTACGTTAATCATAGCAAACCTCTTTATTCTAACCTTCTGAAATTCACATTGAGATTTGTGTGAATATAGATCTTAATAGCTTACTCTATTAAGTACTTACTAAACTACAAGTTTCATTAAAATAAATGGAAATTACTACATTATCGAATACTCCACCAGTAAAAAATGCACAATTCCAAAGTTTTTGTGTATATATAATCAATCATATGTATATTGTTTTCCCCAATCTTCTGCTTAAACATTTCAGAAACTTTTAGGTATCTAGGATGCATTAGGAATTAATTTCTTATTGACATTTCACAGGAACAATTACGCATTCCTCAAACAAACCACGGACAGCAAATGTTAAATATGAAGACATACCAAATTCAAGTCATCACTACTGGAGAGAAGTTTAATATATGCACCACCACAGTCAATGCCTTCTTGAAAATTCACTTCATATCTGGGCAAAGAGCATGTTAAAGAAAACATTCAGAGTATCAGACAAATTAACTTCTAATCATGAATACATTAAGCCTGTGTATAAGTCACTACTGTCAAAACACTTCCGTAGGACCAAAAGGTTTAATTGTCACACAAGCTGATACAGCAGCAATGTCAGTCAAAAAACACCATGGTAGCGATTGCTACAGTTGGTACCACCAGTAAGAAAAGTTTCAAGGTTTTATCAACCAACAGGCAAACATCAAAGCAAAGTAGAAATAGGCAAGAGTTCTGTAAAGTTTGTACCATCTTTGAAACTGCCCATATGACACACTGAATTTAACCACAAGAGGTTCCTGGATGTGTCTAAGTACCTCAAAGCAAGTCTGAATAAGAGAAAAAAATTAGTAATATTGCCATGGTGCTCATCACTAATACTGCTATAACATGTTCAAGACTCAAGTTGCTACACAGAAATATTCTGTAAGTGAAAAAACACTGTACTCAAACTACATATGATTTACATCTTTTAGAGTAAGAATGAAAATTAATTAGCTTTTTCAGCAATCTTGTAAAATACTAGACTTCTGTCCAAAAATATTTCAAAAAGAGTTTAAATACCACTTCTTAACATCTGTACTACAATCTTACTTGATTATTAAATCATTCATACTGACAGTTCTGACAGCTCTGGATATGATAGATCAATGCTATATAGAAGTCAGTATTTTTCTATACAGCTTCACACTACTTTCTTGACGTAAAGATTTTAATAATAATAAATGTTAAGTCAAAAAATCTGAGGGGCTACTTACTGAACAATCAAAGGTTCCTTATCAAAAATGAATGCTTTTGTTAGCATAGCTGATATTGCATGATGCTTTGCCGCCGATTTTAGCACTAATCCTCTGTCTCCAGGCACTGTGTTTTTTTTCAGCTCTTCTACTTCCCATTTTCCTAAAACACACACACACACACACACACACGAGTCTTAGCTAAAAATGTAGGCTAAAGTAAAGAAATCACAGCCTTGTTGAAAATAAAGAGTTAACAGTAAATAAAGAGTAGCTTCCAAAGCAGGGAAGAAATCTTGACACCTGATGTCAAAAGTTAAACATTAATCATCCAATTAACTACTGGTAATTCTACCATGGCTACAAAACATTACTCAAGTCCAGCTTACACTTTTCCAAACTAATTCTCTACAGCACTCATTTGACACATGTCATTTTATTCAAGCCTAATGCTTGCATTGCTAATATAGAGACTGCTTCAAAGCTCTGGTTCATATTTAATGAGTTTTATTGTAAAAATCTATTTCAGCCTTAAGACAGTGGCAGATAATTAAAAAGATCCTTACACTTCGGGTGTGCATAGCTCTATACAGAAAAGCCCACTCTCCTGTTTCACCAGAAGGTGTTAGTTCTAGCCAATTGAGACAATGCTAGCTCTCAATATTTTAAAGATGACACTGTTGAACAGGAGGGAGGAAAATTCCCTCCTCTTCAGTAGCGTTCCTTCCTGGAAACTAAGACCAAGCAATAATGCCAGACAAGACAGAAAGTCCAGAAATAAAAATTAAATTGGAATATAGTTCAAAAGTCTGTTCACCACAGACTTTGTTCATGTTGAATTGTCCAACAAATACAACTGTTCTGAAACGAGACACAATTTCTATGTAATATGAGGTCAAGTAATCAGAGAGACTTCAGTTCTCATACACACCTCATCTGTATGGATATGTCCCCTGCAACTTCTTTATTTTTATCAGATATTTCTGGTAACTGCTAAACCTAAACATCTGTGCTGTTTTGCCCACCAAATTCTTAGAAGTTACATTTGCTTACCACTTTCTATTAACATTAACTGATTTGACATTAAGAGCAGTAGGAAATACTTTTGCAGCAGAAACTTCTGTTTTCCTCACTTTCTCTTGAATGAAATAAATTCAGGTTGCAAAATTATTGCCACACATCACACATTTGTCAAACAGTTTAAAGTTACATTCACACAGGCAATTCTAGCCTAGGAATTTAGAAGTCAAATGCAAATCCCAATGATAAAAACCATCTAAACAACTTCTTCATTATTACTTCCCAAATTATTTTTAGACTACTGTAAGAATAAATTGTACAAGAACCACTGGAGAACCCTACATTCAAAGACAGAAAATCTGAAAAAGTATTTTGAAGAAAAACATCATTCAGTATAACTTTGTTTCAGAGACTAGCCTGGGAGACCAAGTCACAAATCAGTAGGAACATGCTGCTTTAGAAACATGTTTAACAGCTGAAACTGAAGTGGTAAATCTCTGACACAATTTCAGAGAAAGTAGTTCTCAGGAAGCACTATTGATAAACAATCAATACTGAGTGTTCAGATGCCAGAAGGTATTCTAGTATTACTCGCTGCAACAGATTGTTGGGATGACAAAAAAAAAAATTATCCTCATGCTAAGTAACCCAATGAGCAACATTTCACATCTCAGTTTCAGGATAACAGTCATTATATAAACTAACATTTTTGACCTAAGTCATCTAGGTTTTCAAAGCTAAGTTCAGCATAAGGGGTAGCTATTCCTCAAAAAGAATATCAGAAACTATATGGTGGAAGTTAACATTAAAACTGCTTACCATCATATTTAGCAATGTTATCATCTGTGTCTTCTTTCTTGCTTTTAGACAAAACCCACCTAAATCAAAAAGTGTACCAGTCATTGAACTATCTATGCACAGCTGTATTATTTAATAAGCACAGTAAAACCAGCTTTTGCTTCCAGACTGTGAACCTGTGATAATGATTTTGACAGCATCATGGAACTTTGTGTGGTTCAAAGAACATGAGGAGAAAAATTAAAGTAAATTAGACTAATATAGCAACTCAAAATACTTCCTAAGCATGTAAATGAATATACAATAATAACTCTAAAGTAACTCAAATATTCTGAATAAACTTCAGTTTATTATAAAAGCTGAGTTTGGCAAAACTTTAGAGTATTATGTAAGCATATAACATCAAAGATACACAGAAAATAGCAAGGTTTGAGTGTAAAACTTTCAATACGACAAGAAAAAAAAAAACAAAGAAACCTTAACACTATCTGACCATAACAGTACACATGCACAGCAGAGGACAAAAGGAAGAGGGACAAGTGTCCAAATGACAAATGCAATTATGCATTTAACAGATTGCAGACATATTGTACATAGGGGATCCCAACGAAGCAAACTCCTGATCTTCTTGATACTATGAACATGGCAAACTCAGTTTACCAAATTGATTTTACCAAAAAGATATGCACATACCCTACACACAAAGTGTTGATTTGGAGGAGGAAAAAAAAAAAGGGGGGGGGGGGGGGG